TTAGGTATCAGATATCAACATAAAAATCACCTTTTCCAATTTCTTCAGGAGTTGTGAGAAAAAAGAATCTATTTAGAAGAAGTCCTCAAAATTAGGATGTACTGACATGATTAAGGGTCACTGTGGAACTTCAGTGGTTTATGGTGTTGTTATTTGTCAATTTATTAATAAACCAAAGTAATCTGTTTCATAAAAACTGTTTGAGTGAAAAAATAAGTCTTGGAAAACATGTATATTTATATAATACATATATTAATAACAGCAAACATTCATATTGAACGTATCATGAGCAAAAGCATTGTTTTATCACATGCTATCCACGGTATTAATTCACTGACTCTAACAACCATGTCGCTAGGATGAAGGGAAAGCACAGAAGGAGCAAGTGCTTTTGACAAAAATATGAAGGAAAAGTCAGCCACTTCTCACACGTCCAGACAGCTAAAATCAGGCATTTTAGGGCAATGGTGGCCTACGACCTAGTTACCAATGGCTGTTTCAGATTTCCACCTGTCGACTAAGAGTTGGGGTTCAATTACACCTGCTGGATTGAACAGCCACCCTCTCATACTCTAAAACACTGTTTATAACAATGTGAAATTGTCATCTGTTGCTAACCACACTGGACAGTGTGGCTGGAATCAAGTATAATTGAGTTCCATGTATTCCCACATTCCCACACGGGGGGTTGCTCCTGATCTAGTTTCAACATGTACAGTTCCCATCAGGAGGCCTTAGTGGTTTCATCAGTTGCCCACCAATTTTCAGCCAGGAAAAGTAACAGCTTTATGTAAAAGGGAAAAAAATAGCTTGAATATTCTTTTTTATATAACTGAATTGGGAAAAAGAAAAGCCACCATTTATGCTCTAGTTTACGCCAGGCATTGCAGTAGGTATCTTATATATATGCTATGCTATGCTATGTCACTTCAGTTGTGTCTGACTCTTTGTGACCCCATGACCTGTAGCCCACTAGGCTCCTCTGTCCAATATGTTAGTTTTAATTCTTGTAACAAACTGAAAAACAGGTGTTACTTTAATGTCAAAAATAAAGAGCCTGTTCCTTAAAAAGAATAGCTAAAAATTGGGTAGAATGAAAGTTGTCCTTTTGTAGAATGGAACTGAGGGTGCAGACTTTCTATTTGTTTCCCCAGAGCTTAACACAACAGTGAGTGCACAATAATTCTCAACGCTCTTTGGTCAGTGGCGAAACTGACAATCCACCAAATAAATATTCAACCTCCCTCTTCATTAAGAGATCTGGGTGGAAGTGCATGGTATTAAAATTTATCAAGCATTTCATAAAAGGTATTAATTTACTTGTATTCAAGATGATGCCAGATTTTTCCTGTTCATTAATGCCTTAGTGAGTTCTCAGTAGCTTTAGGAAGACATCTAAATGATAAGCATAGCACATTTTCAGAGAAGAAGAAGGCATTTTTGGGAGTTTTGGGCAGCGTGATTAGAGAAATTTCATATGTAAATATTCAGGGAGACTGAAAGACATTGGTATGAAATACACAGAACATTTGGGTAATCCACCTATAAAAGTAAATTTGGATCTCTTTCCAAAAATATTTGTCTTCACTTGCTTAAGGAGTAGCAAAAGTGCATAGCAGGTCTGCTGCTGCTGCGCGTGTGTGCTCACCTCTGTCCAACTCTTTGTGACTCCATGGACTGTAGCCCACCAGGCTCCCCTGTCCATGGAATTTTCCAGGAAAAAGTACTGCAGTGGGGTGCCATTTCCTCCTCCAGGAGATCTTCCCAACCCAGGGACTGAACCTGCCTCTTGCTGAGCAGGTATATCAAGCTCTAAATATTTAACTCAATATACTACTTTCCTAAACAATCAGCTTCCCCAAATAAAACCTGCTGATATCTGACATAATTTTTATCAAGGTATATCTAACAATATCCAAAGTCTAATAATATCAGCAACTGCAATTTTTGATTATGTTGTTTTATTTTGTGTTCAAGACACAAAGCAAGTTAGGAAAAGCTATTTAAGAGATCAGAGGAATGCTATCCTAGCAAACAATATTTAAAGAGAATAACAAAAAACAACCCATCAATTAAAAACAAACAGTTGGAAAATAGGAAAAAAATCATATGAACTAAGAATTTCACCAGAAGCTGTCATACAAACAGAGCCAATTATGCCAAAAGAGCAAACACTGCATGAATTATTAAAGATGGTCTTAAAAAAATTACAGGGAACTGGATAGAAGAATGCAGTGCAGAAAAGAGATCTCACAGAACTTAATATAGAAAGAGAAACCATGTATGGACTATACTATCAAGACACCATCTAGGGGAGGTAAGATCACAAGAACAGCCTATGTTGGAAGATGTCATAAAACAACAGAATCTGAAGTTTAAGCCTTAAGAAGAACTGATGAATTGAAAACTAGGGAATAAGGAAAGAAACACTGAGGCAGGAGGGCAGTAAAACTAGACTTGGTACACAAGTGTCATAGCTGTCATCAGATGGGGTCAGTTCATACTGCGTCTTGAACATCCGGCAGCAGATTTCTGGGCTATGGAACAAAATCAAAATTCACGCAGCAAATCTTCCATGGAACAACACAAAGGGGTTTCCTGCTCATGGAGCTTTTCTTATGTGGTGAAGATTCTCACTATATGCTAATGAACAAGTAATGAACAGAAAAATAAGCACTACTCTTTCAGATAAGAGAGAAATTAGTAAAGAAAAGAGAAGCAGAAAAAATATCTGGAGTATGTTATTAACAAGCTGCTCCTTGCTTTTGGTGTTATAATATTTAACAAAGCCCAGTGAATAAAAAAGAAGAGGAAGATGACAAAATGGTTTAAAAGAAAAAAGAAGGGGTGATAATCTCTCTCTTTTTGCATGCCCACCATTCTCTTCTTAGGGCCAGAGACAAAGGGAAAGACAGAAAACTAGTCTATAAGGAAAGGTTAGTAAGACCTAGGAGCAATGGCTAGAAGAATGGATCATTTAACTATGCTCAAGAAGGGGGAAAAAAAGTGACCATTTAAAATGTAATTAGACTTCTTACACAGGAAGTGACTAGGTACTCAAGGTGACGATTCCTAATAAAGAAAATGATAGCCTCCACTCAGACAGCCAAAGATGGATTTGGCCCAGAGGAAAACCAGCAAGTACTATAATTAGTAAGAAGCTAGACGGTTTTCAACATTATGTTAATTAATAAGAAAATACTGAAAAAAATCAACTTCTCTCATGCTAACTGGGAAAACAAACGCAAATTAATATAAATATAGACACACATTGATATGTATCAATGTATAACAAATACCAGACTTGGTTTTATGAATGATCGATGCTGGAAAATCTCGGAGAAGATACAAAAAAAGACAGTCATGGTGAGGAACATGAAAATAAGAGAAATGGGGAAAAAAAGACAGTTGAGGGAGGGATAAGGCACAGAGATGGACTGACATAATGGAAGAAAAAGCACTAGCTTTTCCTTTTTGACTAACATAGAGAGAATGAGAATAAAAAAAAAGAGGGGGCCCAGGACAGTATCAGGAAAGGACCACATCTGTCTAGACAACTAAAAGGGAATGGATGATCATCAGGTCACATTCTAATAACTGTATATGAAAAATGTTCTGGAGGCTGAGAATTTCGATATGTGGGATGGAGGTGAGAGAAAGAAAGATGGGAAGACAGCCAGGATGGACCTTCAAGATCTTCTCCTGCTGAGAGATGACAGCTGAGCTTCTGTTCCTCGTGGGCACTCAGTAAGCTGCTCTAAGTGCTGACAGTCAGTAGTTTTAGCCAGTGCATAAAAGTGATATTCAAAAGGAGGTGCAACATATGTATCATGAATCATTTTTTATTCACATATCAGAATGATTAGATTAAAATGATATTCTTCAGAAGAATTGCACATTGATTTTTTAATTATGATATGAAGTTCTCCTGGGGTAACAGGTAACATCTACAGAAGTCATGAGTGATCCCATAGTGGTGAGTCCGTATCTATCTCAATGATTCGAACCCTAAACAAGACAATTACTGAATTTTAAGAAACTGCTTACAAAGGAAAACCAATGCAAATTACCCTAATACTTGGTATTATGAGTATGTAGATGAAATTCAGGCTATGCTTCATTCATTTTCAGGGTCCATAGCTACCGCTTGATGGTACAAGGCTGTAGGTAAACAGCGGTTGCTTAGTTGCTAAGTCATGTCTAACTCTTTTGTGACCCCATGGACTGTAGCCTGCCTGGCTTCTCTGTCCATGGGACTTCCCAGACAAGAATACTGGAGTGGGTAGCCAGTCCCTTCTCCTGGGATCTTCTCGACCCAGGGATCCTGCATTGGCAGGCAAATTCTTTACCACTGAGCCACCAGGGAAGCTGTATTTATGTGTTAATCATACTTTATCACAAAGAAGGAGAGTAAATGATGTATCACCTAGAGTTAAAACACATCAACTTGAATTTTAGGGAGACATGGGAAGACTCAAACATGTCTCCATTAAATGAATCAAACACTGTACCTGTACTGCCATAATACTCTTACTTTCAAAATTCAGAAATATATCACTTAAGATAATTTGCTGGCAAAATGAGAGGTGAAGACTTTTTGTCAGTAGAAAGGTCAAATAATTTTCCACAATGCAATGCAGTTTTTAAGCTTTACAGTTTCACTATAGGTGACCCAAGGGAGATCCCCTTAAACAATTATATTGAAAATTACATTGTGAGCTAATGGAATGTGAACAGTAAGGCACGAGGCTTGTGTGCTGTCCTTGACTGCTTTTTCTGAAATACATAATCTTAGTGGGTTTTGTTTTAAAAACTTGTTTTTTTGTCAATAAATGTAGGTAACTGTATCCATGTAAAAACTAAGAACTCATCTTACAGTGAGATGATTTTTCATAAGGAGGACTTCTAGATATAAGTGCAAGGATCTTTTTTTAAGGACTATAGCATGCAACAAAGATTTACAGTTGAGCCAAAGAAAGTAAGAAAAAAAGTCGACTAACCTAACCCACCTGAGCTCGGCTCACAGGGGTCAATGTCCTCATCATCACTGGGACACTCTGCTGAGGCCACAAGGATGTCATCTGTGGTCTGTAAAAGAATCACATTCAGTAGATTACTTTAACGGGACGTAACAGATCTTTTCATCTTTTGTCTTGTGGACTAAACACCATTTGCATTTACCTGTCAGATTGAGAAACCAAATTCAATATTTCCCTTCCCAAAGACACAGAGCTTACATTCTTCAACATATGTTAGGTTCCTCATGGAATCATTGGCATATTTGTGAAACCTTGATTCTAGCTTATTTTTCATGAGGATAGGTGGCAGCCAACTTGTAGATACCCATCCATTTAACTGCATGGTGAAGCTGCACACAGGAGCAGACAGCAGTTTAAAAAACAGCCTGGCAGAAACAGATGATTTGAAATTTATTACAGCCCTGGAGTGCTGCAAGGTATGCATCAGTGGGCTTTATGCCCCACCTGTGCTTGGCTTCCTGAAAGCAGAAGAGCTATAACCTTTTATATTCATGACCAAGTAGAATTCAATGTATCTTTGAGATATAGCCTGTCTTTATTAGGAAACACAGATTAAGCAGAGAATATTTTTTCACTGATGCAAAAAGGGAAGCAAATATAGTTCATGGAAGGTATTTTTAAAAATTTTTGTTGAGCTTTCACACTCAGTTCTCATCTTTGTAATATTCAGATATCAGGCATTATTCCCCCATTGTCTTTGCCACCATTAAAGTTTCAGAATAAATGAAGAGTACTGGGGGATGGTATTTTACAGCAAACAGGATAGAGGTGACAGTTTTCTTTGTGACATTTTAGTTGCTTCATTGCACTTACAGCAAAGAAGATAACCATCAGTGTAATAAAAAGCAGTGTGTGTAAATCCTAGCAGTTAGTCACATAATCAACACATTTACAAGCATTAAAGGCTATTCTTTACTGTCACCTATAAGCAGCAGTAAACTCAGCATAGATATTTCATAGAAACTGAAGGTTTACATCATATTTGGCTAAAGCTAAGGCAACACAGACAAAATTCAAGGTACAAGAAGGAAAATATCTCATTACATCTGTTAAGGATTAAGAGATTATAACTGTTTAGACAATACTCAGAACTGCAATATTGATGAAATCCTTATTGAAAAGTAGAATTATAATAGGAGTCTTACAGGAAAGAAAAAATAAGAAATATGAGTAAAATATATTTTTATTAAGGGAGTATCTAATAGAGGGCAGTGTGCTATGCTTAGTAACTCAGTAATGTCTGACTCTTTGCGCCCCCATGGACTGTAGCCCACCAGGCTCCACTGTTCATAGGGATTCTTCAGGCAAGAATGCTGGAGTGGGTTGCCATTCCCTTCTCCAGGGGATCTTCGCAACCCAGGGATCAAACCCAGGTCTCCTGTATTGCAGGTGGATTCTTTACCCTTTGAGCCACCAGGGAAGGCCAATAGAGGGTAAAGTATAAATATATAAATATTAAGAGAATAGTGTCACTTTGAAAAATGGAGACAAGGGATGATGCATATTTGTGACAAAAATTAGGCTCAAAATGTTTCAAGTACAATGTCTTTAATTAATTAAGAAAAAAGAATTTGTTCAGAAGTTAGTGCTTCATAATATAACTTTACATAGTATTTTTAATAGTATTTTCAGATGGTTTCACATTATTCTCTTAATTCCTTTTGGCAATTAAGTTGGGAGACCAAATTTATTTATTTTGCAGCTGTCATGTTAAAAGAAGAAGTTTAAATGCTGCTTTTCCTGGAATTGTAACTGTTAATGCCAGTGATAGTCACCAGCAATTGGTGTGATAGTCACGTAGATATCTTTCATTAAAGTGAGCTTTAGAAGGCAAAAACATATCCTTCTTTTGGCACAAGCACTTCTCTCAGGATAACATCCAAACTGACTTGATAATAACAAGTTATTGGATTAAGAGGTCTGCCAGGTCAATTGTTCCAATTCGCCCCAGAACTGATAATCTGCTTTTCAAAAGCCAACTTCAAGTGGGAAGCTACTCTTTTTTTTTTTTTAACTACAGTGGATACTCTTTAAAATTAATTTCAAGTTAGAAAAAAATTTCTAATTTTCCTTGAGGAATTTTAACTCTATTGATGAAATCTAGAAAGGGATGTTGCTTTGTTCTTGGTTGGGAGAAGGGGAGGAGGAGCAGGATGTGGACAAATTCTTTAATCTAGTGTTTCTTATCCTGGCAGTGATGCGCTTCCCTCTCCCTTCCTCCATCTGGGAAGACGTTTGGTAATGTCTGGAGACATTTTAGTTTTATCAGCCAGGTGGAGGGTGGGAGTAGGTGAGCTCCTATTAGTATTCATTGAGTAGTCACCAGGTATGCTGCTAAAAATTCTAAAATGTATGTGACTGCGAGCGCCCCCAGTAAAGAAAGATCTGACTCCAAAGTTTCCAAAGTGATAATAGTGCAGAAGTTGAGAACCTCTGCTCTAAAAACTCAAAAACTGTTCTGTTCCTTGTTTTTCTCATCTGAAAAAATTGGAGAGCACTGTCATCACTGCTGTTGTAAAGATTAATTTAGTACATGGAAAGTAACTAGAATAGGACCACCTTTTAAATATTTACAAAAGTTGTGATAGTATCAGCATTATTGTCTCACAAATGGTGCACTGATTTAATAGTTTTTGCACTATATAAATAATTTAATTTTAGATATTAAACTGGAAGTTGCACATGTGAATTATTCTCAACTTTACATCTCTTATTAGTTAGGTTTTTTTTTTTTTTCTTGTTAGTTTTTATACAAGAATAGAGAAGCTCTATCGGTACTTGGTTGAACTAAGTTTCCATCTTTTGCTTCCTAGATTTAAATTCTGAATTAGAAGTCAAACATAAAAAATAAATAATAAAGGTTTCTTCCTAAAAGAAATTCAAAGACAAGAAATGAGTAACTCAGTGTAGTGTTTCAGGCAAACTAAATTATTTAGGCTGCCCAAGTTAAATTTTGTTTTAAAAGTCGACCTATTTTTTTACATTCCACAGCCTTCTGGAACAATTCCACAGCTTTCTGGAACAATTCCACAGCAAACAGAAAGTGTCAGAATGTTCTCAGTGTTATCTTTCACAAATCACAGTCCCTAAAATAACAAAAGATGTCATAGAATAAATAGTACCTTCTATAGCCCTTTACAGTAGGAAAAAAGTCACTGTACAAATATGACCCTATTGTACAACTATATTTTAGTTTTTAGTGTATTTTCCCTGATATAAACAATACACTTTTTTCATATTTTTCTCTCAGAAATTAAAATCCAGCAACAGTCTTGTGAATAAAAGATCTCAAATCAATAGATGCCTTGATAGAAATTATCACTGTATGAAAAATCAGGAAGTGCCTCAAGTGTAGGGAGGAAAATCAAATTTCATTCCAGGGGCTGAATTAACTAAATACTTTTCTAGCCAAAGCTGTGTAATTTAAATTTAATTCACTGTGTTTGGAACTGTCTCCCTATGACATGCTGTTGAAGAGAGGTAGAAGAAACTCAAATATGTCACATTAATCAATTCTATTCTTCAATATAATTTTCCCTGATGTTTATAACCTTTTCCAGAAAGAGACGACCTGCTGAAGAAGACAGAATAGTGATCAAGCAAAGGTCTTGGCTTTTCATAACCATACATTCAGATAAGTGTCCCTAACTGTGTATTTAACCACTCATAGGTCAAAGCGCATGCTGGTCTTCCTTAATTCAGAGTGGTCTGGATATGTTCATGGCCAACATCTGTGCTTGTTCAAAATGTCTGCTAAAACTACTTTATGTTTCTTTACCTTTAGGGAAAAAATGACTTGTACACAATTCAAGGATTAAAGGCACTGAAACTTAATTCACAGGTTTTATGGATCAATACCAACCTGGGATAGGGGAGGAAAATGTACTCAGAATGGGAGCAAAAGGAAGTTTTTAATGAACAGTAAGACATGAGAAAAATCATGAGGTGGCTGATTTTTAGTTTATTTTACACACTAAATCAACATTAATTTATTTAATGTCCAGGGTTATTAGGTAGTGACCATTCAGTGGGTTAGAAAGTAGAGAAACACTGACGTACTTTTGTTCTGCAGAGAGACTTTTTGCCTATCACCACATTTAATGACGGAATTTGTGGCATATTTACTTTTTTGAATATAGCACAATTGCATATCTGTGTGGTAAGAAGATATGATGAGAGGATAGATAAACTTAGTCTGTAATATCATATCCTTGCTCAGAATGGCAATGCTAGACTTGATCCCTCATGCTAAACAGCTTTGCTGAAGACTGAAACATTCTAATGGAAAGACCTGCAAGAAAACTCTACCAGGACAAATCTGCTTTGTAAGGAAAGGAGCACACGTAAACTGTATAAACACGTCCACTATGAATTCGATACCCGCAAAGAAATTCTTGATTTACTCTAAAATTTCAATCGAAACTTTATTTCTAACTAGCAACAGTAGGGGACTTCCCTGCTGCTTCAGTGGCTAAGACTCCATGCTCCCAACTCAGGAGGCATGTTTACGGTTTTGATCCCTGGTCGGGGAACTAAGATCCCACATGCTATGCAGTGTGCAGCCAGGGGAAAGGAAAAAACAAAACAAAATAAAACAAAACACAGCATCAGTCTTTTCAGCGAAAAATCCAAATACAACATAAAAATTAGTTGTTTTGAGCAATGGTGCTCCCTCACTGTAACAATATTTAGTCTAATCTCTCATGGCTGTGATGGACACTTAGACTAAGCTGACTGAGACAACTGATTGAGTACAGTGCCACCTAACATATGATGTATTTAACTAATTGATGGGCACTTGTTCTGGCTGATACTTCTGCTTACCTGAAGCTGCTCGGGAAGGAAGAGAACATTCATATCTGCCTTTCAGCACTGAATCTGACAGTTTTTTCTATCAAATTTATCACTAGGTGAACTTTTCAGAAAAAAAAAAATGCTAGGATTCACAACTAGCGACACAAACTCCTCAAATTAGGTCTGAACCATAGCACTGATAACCTACAGGGCAGGAAGTTTTAGGAGGTGGGGGAAGTTAGAGTTTTCACCAAAGTAGAAAAAGTGCAAAAAAATAAATTAAAAAAAAACCCAATTGTCAGACATATATAGAATTCCAAAACAATATGAATCAAATCAAACCACTAAAGAAATATATCAAATTGGTAATTTTAGTTAATCCTATTTAAAATGTAGAAGGACTTTAGAAACTTTGCATATTCCATCATCTCAATGAAGCTTTGGTTCTTATTTTTCACTTGTTTCTTTGAGTAGCAGATGCCACATAAAGATATCAATCCCATGCTCAGTAATCTAATAAAAGTAATAATAATAATCTGAGATCTAATACGTGAAGGATCCATTTTAGCTCCAGCATGTGAGTAACAGAGAAAATGAAGATCAATTAGTCACCAATAAATTAGTCACTGATCTGGGCACAGCATTTTCTGATGGGCACAAAATATGGTTACTACCTGAGAGGGTTTAAGTTGTGATTCTTAGCTGCAAATAACTGATTGTGCCCATTCTACTCTAAAGCATAGGAACAATTCACTCATTAATAAAAATAACAACAATCAATCTAATAGCTTATTTTGTTTGGAATGTAAGAGTGCCCCCATCTCTATTACTTTATTAAATATTCACCAACAACATGCTTATGCAGAATGCAGGTGAAGGTACTATTACTCTGAGTGTTACAGTTAAGTGCCAAAAAAATACCCGTTTGTAGACTTATTCACCCAATTTGAATGTCTGAACATTGGCATTCATGAATATTTAGGGAAAAACTGAAATATCCTTGAAAACAGCCAGATTTCACATTTCTTTAATTTTTTCCCCTCAGTTGATGCTTTAGGTTATTATAAAAAGTGACCATAAATCAGCTGTCTTCTTGGAAATGACAGACTTGAAAGCCATTCAATTTTCTTCAGAATTTCTTGGCTGTTTAAAATGTATGCGATGGTTTCAGAACAGTGCAAGCAAACTGGATAGAAAAACTTACCACATAAAGATATCACGAATGCCTTACTCATTCTAACATGCATTTTTATATGCATTTGATACTGGTCATCCTAACAAGAAAAACTCTAAAGGTGAAGACAGGGATATGGAAAGAATGCCATAGAAAAATGAACTTATGAGAGAAAGAAATGAACTGAATCCCTGTTTAATGAAATAAAAAAAATTATATTTTAGCAAAGTTATGCAAAAGAGTGTTAGTCGCTCAGTTGTGTCCAACTCTTTGTGACCACATGGACTATAGCCAGCTAGGCTCTTCTGTCCATGGGATTCTTCAGGCAAGAATACTGGAGTGGATTGCCATGCCCTCCTCCAGGGGATCTTCCCAACCCAGGAATTGAACCTGGGTCTCCTGCATTGCAGGCAGATTCTTTACTGTCTGAGCCACCAGGGAAGTCCCTGCAAAATAAAAACCTGGTATCAGGAAGTTTGAAATTAATCTTTTAAATTAAAAAAAAATATAATTCTTATCTTTCTTTGAGATACTGATGACCTCTATGCTCATTTCCATTTTAAGCCAAAGCAAGTAGGAGCACTAGCCAAAGGAAAAGTTAAAAGGAAAGTTTAAATTTTCAGAAAGGAATTGGAATAATCTATTCTCTTGGATCCCCATGAATTAGATTTTGGGAGTGTAAGACCTCCAAAGAATACTGATAGTGGAGTGGTGATGCTAAAAGGGAAATTAGAATATGCATGTGATTGAACACATTTTCTCTTGGTTTGTTTTGTTTTTGAACAAAGACCTTTCTGAAATGGATCTGGACATTTCCAAATTAAATAAATAATGACAGCTGTTTACAGTGTAAATCTATGCTTCGAGCTGTGCCAATGTGAATCTTTAGTCTAACTATTATAACTGAATAGACTAATTAGTTACAAAGGTTGAACTGAAAATCCTTACTGGTAATGAGGCCAAAACATTTTATAATAGTAAAAGGCCTATGATGGATAGTTTCAACTACATGTCCCCCAAATCCGAGTTTCCCTTGTTGGCGCTTAACATGCTAGCAAATGGAATCATGCTTTAGTCAAGCAGTTATATATCTTCTTGGACTGAGTCAGACCCTAGTGATCATTAGTCCAAGTTCTTGATTTTACATATTAGGAAACTAAAGCTAGAAAACTAAGTCTCTTTGTTTCATCCCAATTATACTGCAAATGAATAGCAAGACTATGAAATAATTCTGACTCACTCCCAGTAGATTATGACTGACTGTCATTCCAGGTGATTTCTATCCTTCCATGCATTACTCATCCAGTTATCTACTCATTTATCCATCCATGTCAAACCATTTTGTTTCTTTAAGGGTTTGATGTGATTAAAAAGATAAAAAATGAAATAAAATTTAAGGTAAGTTAAAAGGTGGGAAAGGGAAGTATTGGATTTTACATAAGTAACCACTAAACATATCATAAAGAGCTCACACGGGTACTAGGAGACATGTCCACATCTATTGCATCACTTGATATGTCAGCACATGAAGTGGCACTAAAAAAGGAATAAAATGAATTCTAGAGTTTAATTGTTACTCCACTTACACAAATTCAAATATTGATAGAATAATACTGATAGAACAATGTTGCTCTGAAATGGAGTAAACCCAGAAAGTTCTTTACTTGTGTTAATCTTTGCTTAACTTACTTTTTTAAAGACTTTAAACATCTGGACTGTCATCTCTGCATATATATGCATAACTAAATTCTTGGGGACAGAAGGAATATGTAGATTGCTGAATCTTTTCCTATTTTTCCCCTTGACTTAGAACATTGCAGGCCACACTGGCTACAAAATTAACTTAGTGGACTCTCTGTCTCTCTGCTCATTAATCCACTGATGAAAACTTCCTAAGTCTCTCTTATTAACTTCTGTCTTTACAACATAAGTGGTAATGAGATATTCATCTTTGTCTTTCTCACATGACCATCATTAGGGTTTTGTCAAATTATCTCATTACATCTTAGGAATAAATAAGTGGAAGTGACCATTTGTTAATAATACTGACTGTTTCTCCAGTTGCAATCTAAATATGTATTCACTGATCGGGACAGTCTCATTTACATCATACCCCTAGAATTGGAGGTTTAAAGTCAAGGTATAGAAGTAGTCACAGGCAGCTAGTCATCCAGAACACTTCTTTCCTTGCAGGGCAGGACCATGAGAAAAGCTCCCTTGATAGAGCTTTAATCTGGAAATAAATGAGAACTTCGACCCACACAATGCTTGAAGTATGGGACAGCAACAAATAGGAATGTGGTTGGAAATAATGTTGATATAATTGACAGCTGGTTTTCCGGTTTGTTCAGTTTTTTTACCCATTTGTTGTATATCTGCAAGGTTCCATACCAATATCTTAGCTAGTACCTGAGCAGCATCTCTATGAGCGCTTCTAGCAGAGAGATTAAGAGTAAATGTGGTCTGGCTTAAATGTTACAATGTTATTGTGTTCATGAACTAAGAAGATGGAGTCCTTGCTGGTTATAGTTAAACTGGACCTCCAAGCTTGCAAATTTGACTATTTCACTCATGATGCCTACTTACTTTGGTTCCTTAGTACATATTTGGAATATGTTATTGTTGGACCACTTCAGTTTACTTTGTTGCATGTTGATCAATAATATAAAATATATAAAGTCTCAATCTGGGTTTTATAAGTAGTATTACCATCTTGAAAGGTTTCTGTGTTTGCAAGAGTACATAAGAATATGTACTTTATATATGTAAAAATATATATATGTGTATATATATTATAAATACATGTGGAAAAATGTATATACAATCATTTGTATATGACAAAATAACTTCTCTATCTCATAGGGATATTATGGGGATCCATTTTGAAATGTGTGAAAGCACTTTATAAATATGAAAGTTCTCACAAAGCAATGTTTATATGCTATTATTACAACTAATACAGAGTTATTTTTCTTCCTCACATGACAATATGAAGAACTGTTCTGGGGAGTGGTTAAGGAAGGCAGCCAAATATCCACTTAACTGAATATATTTCATTTTCATGTCATGAAATCCTTTTGTCCTCTCAGTTATTCAAATAAGATCTGTATCTCTCACTCCAAATGGCCCTTCATATAAAGGCTGCTAATTCTTGGGAAGATCCCTTTTATATAGGGATGTGATTTACTTCAGCACCGCTTGCTGAGTACACAAGTTTCAATCTCACTGGGAACCTACAAGATGGGCAGTGCCAGTCCACATCTAGTTCTGTCATTTCTTGTTCTCCAGGTCAGAGCTTTGAGGGAGTTACCGTACAGATGCAGGGCTACTGGAGTTCCCTTGAAACTCTCCTTCTCATTCACTTTTCTGGGACTTAGAAGATTGTGACAATTGAGCTGACTGTGACTCATGCCCTATTATGTCTAGAGCAAATAAATGAACAGAAAATAAGAAAAAGAGGTCACTTAGAGAATACTGCTAATTAAAGGAGAGACAGAGAAACAGAGGCAGAAGGAGAAGAAATAGGGAGGGGAGCTGAGGGGAGAAGAAGAGGAGACTCATTCTAAGTGTGATACTTGCATCACAATGCTTCTTATTGTTGTGGGTGCATCAGTATTTATAGCTGTAACATAACATTGCCCATAGTCATGTTCCCTAGATGGATTAAAAATATGAGGATTAACTTTTGTAAGACACTGAACAATACTTTCTTAGTGCATTAGAACAGTAGAGGTATGTGCCTTTCCAAATTGTTTTTAAATCTAAAAGTTTTTGAACTGCCTAGCTATATGTTTTATCTTATTTCATATATATCTGTGGGACAGGATTTTTTTCTATGATTATAGCCCTTGAACACCTATTACATTTATCATGGTTCAATACAGTAGATTTAAAATGTCATCACCATTGACTGTAATGGTTAATTCACAATGGATATCAAAACATCAACTCATACACCTTAAACAATTTTGTCAATTATACCTCAATAAAGATGGCAAAAAATCTTATCATACTCTAAAATTGGCTTCTTTAACCACCTGCAATTTCAATATCAGCACTTGATGAAAATAATTATGATTGTGAAAATAGAATTAATAAAGTTGAGTGAAGAATTCATCTTTAAAAATAGAAGAAATATTATATGTGACACTTGAATTGGTAGAATCATTTCAAATAATCTTTTCCTGATGGTCATCTTCTCTAAACTCACTACACCTGAGTGTATTTTTGCCACAATTGCTTATTTATAACAGCTCATTAAATCTCAAAATAAGAGTGAGAAAGTATAGATTATTTTCCAGAAGTGTAACTCCTAAGAGTGGGAGATGAGAATTGTGGCAAAAATCACACTTTTTGAAAGATTTTATCTGCCTTCTACCATGTCTAGAAGTGACAATGAAACTTTATAACTGGTTTTTACATTATACCTCATGGCTGGAAATTTATGGTAGAGAAATAGCTAAAAGTGACATTATCTTTAACTGTAAAGAGAAAATGACTGAAAGTTAGAAGGAAAGAAAAGCTAAAAATGTCTTGCAATAAGTTGGTCTGCCTTCTTTTATGAAGCATCTCTGCTCCTTTGAGAAAGCAATAAGATATAGCTTGCTTTAGAGAAAGGTGGAAAAAAAAATGACAGTTATTCTGTTTTTTTTTTCCTATATAATATTTTCCCAACTCAGTCTCCCCTGTACTCTATTTCAATAGTCTTACCCTGTAAATACTTTCATTAGAATATAAAGAAGGTATGCCTTTAGAATGCTTTCCTTCAAATTCCAACTACAGAATGTAACTTTTGTCTTTTTCCTGAAATAAATCACATAAATATAAGGGTTGGTTGAGAACAGTCATCAGGTAAGTGATCATAGGATGCACTCTTGAAATTTACATCTTTTGATAGATTTTTCCATATACTGACTTATTCACTAATTCATTCATCCATTCACAATCATTTATTGAATACCTTTGATTAATAAGAGGCTAAACAAGGGAGGAATATAATATGCAACCCGATTTCCCTGCCTAGAATTGTTTGGAGAACTTCAGGTGTATGATAAATGAAGGCCATCTATGAGCAGAAAATCTCTCTTTGACCCCTGAGCATGGAAGGGGCATGAGTGTCAGAGCTAAATTGACTAGGCTGAAATTGTAGCTCCACCACTTATTAGCTACATGATGTTGGGCAAGTTTATCTAGCTTCTTTAGGTTTCTTGCTCTGTACAAATGACATTATTTACACCTGTTTTCCAGAATTTTCATGAGGATGAAATTCTCTAGGGCTAGACAGGCAAGCTGTTGAACACAGTGGTTGGCACTCAGAAGATGTTATTGAGAGTATTTACTATGTAAATTGTAAAGCAGGCCCTGTATACATTCTTGCTTTGCTCTCCCTGCAACATCGAAAGAAAAGTTTATTCCTAGCCTTGGATTCCTGCGAAATTCAGACACAGACATCCCCTTCACAAACTAAGTACAATTTCCTGGCTTAAATACACACATCCATGTTTAAACATCCTATAAACAGAGTAAATTGCATAACTGAATTGAGAGCTCTTTTAAAAACACCTCAAAAAACATCATAATATTGCCAGTGTATTGAAAAGCAGGGGCTTCTCTTCTCTTCTCCCTAGCTGCATGATGTAACCAAACATCTGTCAAATCCTACTGTTTCAGAGTCTGGGGACTCTTGAGTTATTTTTTTCCAGTTCCCTTAGAGTAAAGAGAGGGAAAGTCTAAGTGGGTACAGTCAGAGGTGTAGTGACAAATCATTACACCAATAGTGAGTGGTAAATTACCTGCCAGCCAATTCAGGGGACAGGGGTTCCATCCCTGGGTCAGAAAGCTCCCCTGGAGAAGGAAATGGCTACCCACTCCAGTATTCTTGCCTGGAGAATTCCACGGACAGGAGGACCCGTCAAGCTACAGTCCCTGTGGTCCCAAAAGAGTTGGACACGTGTTTCCTGGAAGTTGCTATCATGCCTCTCTACCTGGATGAACCTTTTTCCTCCCCCACACACCTCTGCAATCCCTTAATCTTACCTTCATTCTCATTACTGGTATGCCTGCTGACTAAGGACAAGAATTAACCCTTCTATTGACCAAAAAAAAAAAGTCACTTCTCATTATGAGAACTTCGGAAACATGTAAGTGTCATCATGTAAACTGAAAGGCAAGCTTTTCTTGATGGTTTGGTAACACTGCTGTGAGCATCAGTGCTACCTATAACACAGTAAGGACCTCAGGTACCACTGGCCTGCCCCAGAGGTCCTCAAACTACCCTTCCATGTTTCAGCTGATGCCTACTCTTACTAGTTTTTCTCTTTTGTCTATCGCTGTCAGGTTTTAAAGACGCCCTTCCTGTCTTCAAGTTTGCTCCTTCATGTCTGCTTTGAGAAGAAAATCTAGATAATCAGATAATCAACCTTTTCTAACTATCTTAGAAATTGTGTCGGAGAAGCCCTCAACCAAGAAAGTCCAGGTGCTTCAGAGTCAAGGTTTATGGCTTAAAATATGCAAGACTTAGCTGCCTCAAAACGCAAAGTTCCTTCTGAAGGCGGTGCATTTATTGGTACAGGGAGGGGCATGTGCAATGTAAGAAGGAAGAGACTGCCTTACTATCTTTGACCACCTCGCTAGCTGAAAGATGGAGCAGGGGTGTGCTGGCTTGTATTTATAGGTGGAACCTGATGCTGACATGCAAGGGTTCAACTATATACACAGAGTCAGTGATTCATTTAGTGTATCCTAGAGTGAATACACTTAGGGTAGAGAAAGACACCCTGTCTGGTGGAGCTGCTTTTCTTGCTTCCCACATCCAGGCTTTCACTTGACAAATTGAGGTGTGCTAGTATACTGTCTCGCAGTGACTCGAGACATGAATGACTCTGTGCATGAATCCTGGAGTTAGACCTGAGACACTCGTGACCCTGTGCATGAATCCTGGAGTTAGACCTGAGTTTAAATCCAGAGTTGTTAGAACTTGGGTGACTCACTTAACCTCTCATCTATAAAATGGGAGGAATGCAGCAGTGGTGTAGTTGTAAAAATTAAGAAAACCATGATCAATGAAGTACTTAGCACTATTCCTGGCTGAGAAATAAAACCTACATTTTTACGGTAAGGCAAGAGAAATTTAAACAAAACATCTTCTCTGACCTTTGGCCTCCTCTCTCCCCAAACTGTGCTTTGTGTATCAGCATTATGCATTGACCAAACCTCTATTATCAGGAAAAATACCCCCTCAACCATAAAGAGTAACATTCTCCTAGCCTCAACAAGGCAACTCCTTAAATAATAGCATTTCTTTTTGATCTTCTAATAGGTCACATGACCTACCTCGATGCCACTTAGATATGGATTATGTAAACAGTCATTAATATGTCATTTGACATATAGATCTGTGTCTCAAAAAACTTACATAACTGTGCCTTGATTTCTAATCAACAGAACAGTACTCAGAACTTTCTGAAATGCCGTTCTGTGGTTATAATCCTCAAATTTGGTGCAAAGAAAATTCTCCATGTGTTTTTTAAAATCTTTTTTGACTTATTAAATTTTGTCAATATGGGGCATACTGAACAGTAAATAACTCTTAGCTCTTCTCACCTGTGTTATTACATAAGGCATGCAGGTATGTTTGAAGTAAAGCTGGTGACGCAGACAGTAAAGAATCTGTCTGAAATGCAGGAGACACAGGTCTGATCCCTGGGTTGGAAGAATTCCATGGAGAAGGGAATGGTTCCCAACTCCAGTATTCCTGCTTGGAGAATTTCACGGACAGAGGAGCCTCGTGGCTACAGTCCATGCAGTCACAAAGAATCAGACGTGACTGAGTGACTAACACGGCAGGTAGGTTGCCTCCCGGAGGCAGCACATTTGTCATTTGAGAGGGTAAAACCCCAACATCCTAACAACCACAATAGGTTGACTATCCACATTTGCCCTTGCCTAGAATAATATTGTGAAATAGGAGCAGAAGATAGTTAAATATTGCATGAAGAATGCAATTGTACTTTCTCCCTGAATGGTCTATTTTGCTTTTCAACTTTTAAACGCCACTTTATTTAAAAACATACTTCCAACCATTCCAAAGTATTTTCAAGTTGGAAAGCCTTTTTGTTTCACAATAAGCTAACTGCAGGTGCAAACTCAAGGGAGATAGACCTTGAAATTTTAAGTGTGTTGCCATGGTGATGGCTTGCAAGATTGTGTATGAGTTTCATCTTAACTCTCAAGCTTTCAACCGAGTTCATACGTGGAAGTTCAAATCACTAGGCACACAATGTTTGCCATTCATTGGGTCTTGAAAGGTTTAGAAATAACTGTCTCTGTTGCTTATAGCAACCAGAAACCACAAAAATTCTGTCTATATATCTATTTATTTATCTTTGTATCTATCTAGCTATTTATGCAAGTATGGCAATCTAGTTATTTATTACCTACTCTTAACTAGACAGTCTCATCAGTTTAGCTGCTTTAAGTAAAGCTGTATACATAAATTCAACAATATCATTTATGCCAGTTACAAAGAGGTGCACTCCCAATATGAAATAGCTTTAAAATTATTCTACTGAATTTCATATTAATTTTTCTTCAAAATGGATGTATCCCTATAAGAAGCATGATAATTATTTAGGGATGTTCAGTTAAAGCAAATCTTCATTCTAGTGAAATGTGGAGGAATTGCTTTTTAAAAAGGTCCCATCCTATAATGCTGAAAAGAAGATTAAAGTGTGTATTTCAAGTCACTATTAAATGCCCTCCACCCCTAAGCAACACTACCACTACCAAAGACAAAAAAGCATACAAAAGAAGTAAATGCATCTTATTTGAACTATCAGTATCTTAATTGCTCTTAAATGGTTCATCTGATGCTTCTGAATTCCAAAACCTTCACAAAGAACTCATGATTCATTGGTAATAAAAGCAGTAATTTTTGAAAAAAACATTTTCCTGCCATAAATGGAATCTACAGAACACTAACATTGGAAAGTTTAAATGTTACTGATATAAGAAATAATTCTTAACAAATTCTCTTCAAATTACAAGACTTTTTCCATCTAAAATGGCACTATGAAAATTAAGCCAATAATAAAAAGATTCAGTCACCAGGAAAAAAAAAAAGGATTTCTAAGAGTATATAGTTTTTAGTTTTCCTAGTGAAAACTTTTGTTGCAAAGGATCCATCAGGATACAAAGTGCCCTACATAAAATAAGACCACAAAGGACATACATTTGGTTAGTGACAAAACCTTCACAAAAATGTTATTAGCTATCAAAGTCTGGCAGTTATTTAAAATTCACTTTACTACTTTACTTTGACCCATCTTCCAAAACACACACACGTTGCAGAGAAGAAGCCTATTCTGACTCCAAGTTGGAAACTCTAAGACTTGCTTTTCGTTGCTTTTGTTATTAGAATCATACCTAATAGCCTGCTTCAGAGGACTCTGCCCCTCGGCATGACTGTAAACTAAAGTGCCTTTGTTCACCTCAAAGAGAGAGAATCTGACCTTGCCCACCTATGAATAGCTACAATAAAGAGATAACACACCCTTTCCAAAGGCCGGCCATTCCTGGAGATGTTTTGCAAGACTGAGGATCCTTTCTCTTTATTTCCCCACTGCCTCTTGCTATCTATTCTGCCTTTGGACTCTAGTTCCTAATTGCTTCTCTCTCTCTGACTCTATAAAAGAAATTGGCATGCAGACCCCAATGACTTTGTTACTTTGAGATATTAGTCTGCCATCTTCTCAGTCAGCTGGCTTTTGAATGAAGTCGTGTTCCTTGCCTCAACACCTTGTCTCCTGGATTTATTGGTCTAGTGGGCAGCAAGCAGAACGAGTTTGGACTCAGTAACACACACATACACACACACACACACACACACTCACTCTCTCTCTCTTTCTCCCCCTCTCTCTGCAGTTCACACTTCTCGATTTAACAGCTCCCTGATACACTGTGAAACTATGGTAGTGCTTCTCCCCCTCCCCCATTCTAAAAAGCCTACAGCAGTGCTGGAATTAAACAAATGAGAACACAATAATTAGCTATGCAAACTGTCAAGTAGATCTAAAAAGAAAAACAACCCAGAAAACACAACAATCAGCAGTTTCGAGCTCTAACAAGAATCTACATTGAGTTGCCATTTATTTTAAACAAAAATAGATTAGGTGTTTGAAAAATGTTCACTGCAATTTCCATGGAAATAGGGCAAATCAGCTAATGAGTCTTTTACATCTCTAATTTCTCTGATGCTGATATCGTATAAAAGTCTTTGATCCTCCACTCTTTCCATGTGACTTGTTCTACTCTTCTATAACCAGATTCATTCCCAAGGTGAGTAGCATCTAAAATGGTTCCAAAGTGGATATGGAATAGGTGAGCGGGCCAAATCACATGCTGTGACCACCCTAAAACCCCAAATCCCCCCAGTCTCAACAAAATAGCTTTATAAGAGGTAACAAAGTTAAATGGCAAGCTGGAAAGTGAAAAGAATTCTTAAATTATCCGGTGCATTTGTGTATGAACAGAAGGGAACAGACATTAAGTTCTTTGGGTGGAGAGTACAGGCTATACAATCTGTAGCTAAGTCTCTGGGGATCCTTTACTATCTACTCCTTCTTATAACCATGCTGAGTCCTTGTGAAGCAACACAGATTACCTCCAACATATACCTGCTTTATCTGAAGTATCAATCTAAGGCTTATATTGATAGTTAATGTCCCCTTAACCCATTACGCAGCCAGTAATACAATTCTTTTTTAAATCCAGATTTGTGATAAACACAATTGCTTTGAAATTTGTGTTTGCTTCAACTCTTTTATCGTCCAACTTGTAGAAAAACTGCCTACTTTATAAAATTGAGATTGTAAGATGGGATGCCTGAAACTAGTCTGGGATAGGCACCACTTTCTGAGGTCAATGGTCATGGTTATCTCTGAGGTCAATCATTATCGAACCCACCGACTTGACACAAATCATTCTCCATTCCAATATAAGTAGGTTAGAGTAGATGCCTCCTCAGGTCCCTTTAAAGTGTAACTATCAAGGGTAACACAAGAGAACCTTCTGGTACAGATAAGTTTCCTGACTTTGGTGGTGGTTATAAGAAGTTACACATGTGGTAAAACTGCATAGAACTATATAGACCCACATGCACACACACATGGATGCAGGTATATCTGGTGAGATCTGAATAAGTTCCATGATTTACATTCTGGTTTTGCTATTGAACTATAGTTATATAAGATGTAACATGGGGGGAAACTGGATAAAGGGTGTAGGGAACCTCCTGTATCTTTCTTTGCAACTATCTGTGAATCTATAATTATTTCAAAAAATGCTTTAAAATATACAATACATGCATGCATACATAAATATAATAATCTGATTTCATGAAAAGTCTTGTTAACCATCAAAGATAAATGCCACACACAGGGCCTGTTGTTGTTGTTATTGTTCAGTTGCCAAGTTGTATCCAACTCTGCGACCCCGTGGACTGTAGCATGCCAGGCTTCCCTGTCCCTCACCATCTCCTGAAGTTTGCCCAAGTTCATGTCCATACAG